GTGTGTGTGTGTGTGTGTGTGCGTGCGTGCGTTCTCATGTGTGCTACGGACTCGCCCACAGAAGGAAAAAAAAAAGAATGACTGTGCCGCACTGCTTCGTCGGACTTTCACCGACTCATGAGGTCGTTGGATGTGTGTGAATTTGAGTGTGTGTGTGTGTGTGTGTGTGTGTGTGTGTGTTTGGGGTGATCAGACCTCGGTTATGGCATCGCAAGCTGCGCCTGGTGAAAGTCGGACGAAACAGTAACCCTATAGAACTCTCGGCAAAGAGCTTTCAGCTAGGTATGCCAATTGACGGAGTGCGAATATGCGAAGGCATCAAAGCGCTGAAGAATACAGGACTTATGACAGAAAAAAACTACTTGTAGAAGAATATAAAGATAGAAGAAGAAACTACTTGGGAGTCACAAAATCGAGTTATAATTGCACTACGGGCCAAGATACAGTGTCCACTTGCAGTTGGGGCAATGTATACAACCCCTCTTTCTGGCCAGGTAGGGTGCCCGAAGTGCAATTGCAAACTGTATCTTCCCCCAAAGTGCAATTATGACTGGTTCTTGAGACTCCCGCGTAGTTACCCCATTTGGAAAGTACGGGATGAAAACACTCCAGGATGGGGACAGACAGACTGTTCCATAGGACTTGCACTGACTCATCCCGAGGCTGAACCATTGACAATCTGGGGACGTGAATTCCATCTTGATGTTTTGAGTCATGAGTGATCTATGATCTCCCTTAACCTCTGTTGTAAGTCGACGAAGGCCAGCTGATATGGCAGACAGCAAGGGGAAAAGTTATAAATCCCCCACAACAAACCCTTTGTATGCATGGTTTTCTGTTTCTGCTTGCTGGTGATAAGCAATCGGACTGGTGCCCCCCTCAATAGAAGGGGCTGTTGTGATAAAAAATAAATAAAAAAACACGTTGTAGTCATTTGCCCCCACGAGCCACTGGAGCCAGTGCAAAAATGACATGAAAGGTGATTTTGATTTGAGGCCTGCCGAACTGTTTGGGGACAAATGAATACAGAGGTTTTGTCCCGGGGGGGATTTATAACTTAAAGTCACTTAGGCTGGAGGGGAAGGGGACGATGCATTGTAACCTGAAGTCACATAGGCTGGAGGGGAAATGGACGATGGCTCGTTACCTAAGGTCGCATAGGCTGGAGGGAAAGTGGAAAGCTGCCCGGAGGCGGTTTGGAAGCTAAACGACAAAGCAAGCAACAAGGAGCCACTACAAGCAGCAGGAAGCCACTTAGGCTGGAGGGGAAGGCGAAGATGGCTAGTAGTTTGAAGTCACATAGGCTGGAGGGGAAGCGGCAGGCCGCCTCCGGGCGGCGGTCTGGCAGCTGCACGACAAGGCAAGCAGCAAGGAGGCACTACGAGCAGCAGGCAGCAAGGCAGAGAGGCAACAAGGATCAAGGATCGGGCAGCCGAATTACAAGCCAAATAACACTGTCACCTGATTGTCCGGATGAGCAGCGGGCACCAAAGCAGCATAAAGCGGGAGCAAGGCAGTCAGGCAACAAGGCTGCAACTGCCAGCAAGACAAGAGGGCAGTAAGGCAACAAGGCAGCAAGGCAATGGGCAGTGAGCCAACAAGGCACACTGCAGTGAGGCAACAAGGCAAGTGGCGGGGAGGCAACACAGCAGCTAAGCAGCGAGGCCACAGCGCAGCCAACTGAGCCAAGGGCTGACAACAGACACAGCAGCAAGCAGCAGCCGAGCATAAGCAGGAAGGCAATGTGTAGCATATCAGAAAGTGAAATGCACTGAGAGCCTAGGATCTAGCAATGACGAAAGTGGCAACAACCAGTAGCATAGGTGCAACATTCACAAGATGTTAATGTGCACGGTGCAAAGGGTGAACCAACGAGGAATCAACAACACACATTCGTATCATTATCATCATGGGCTGGGAAGCAGCGCAGCGGAAGATTTAGTATCAAAGGACACGTGGACAACAACATGAAAAAGGAGAAAACTTCGGAAGGGCAAGACATCAGAAAGATTGCCCTTCCACTCACACACATGGGGAGAGATCCATAAGCATGCGAGAGAGAAGGGGGAGGGACGGAGGTAACCAAGTCCAACCCAAGTCTGATCTCCGAATGTCGCACACAGTTCAATCCCAATGTAGAGTGCAAGTCCGATCTGAATGTCGTGTCCAATAGGGCAGAATGCCGTGTCCAAACAATGACTGCAGT